TCCTGCAGATGCTCGATTAGCTGGTCTGTGTAACAACCCGAAGACTTTCTTCCTATGCTTTCAAACACACACTGTGGTATTTATGAAACCATGGTCTATATATAAAAGCAACTGCAAACACTTGCCAAAGTATAGTCGTTTTACGTCATTGTGGTAGTAAAATACGAGTAGCACACAGTCTATTTAGTCTAATATTTAATCGGCGCAAAATCAACCTTTGGTCTAATTACACATTGTTACCTAGTCAACCGTTATCTGAGATTTGTTTTCATGATTGCCGAATGTAAATAGTTTTATCTCTAAAAACAGTTTAGCCTATAACGCTAGTCTATAGGGCATAGAGTAATGACAAATAAAAATCGCTTGTTATTACCACTAACAAGGCTCAAAATAGCCCCACACTAACACGACAGCATAATAAGGGTCCCTACATTCAAACCGAAGCATTGAGAACTTTGTCAGTGTCCAAACAGTTTAATAAGAAGATATTTTATACACACAGTCAACTTCGCGAATACAGGAAGAAGCCATCTTTGAAAAATAGTCTCTACTAGTCGATCTACGAGCGCCGATCCAAGTGCGCTGAACTGTGCAGAATCTCATATGGTCCGTTGTTTCCTGAAGAAATACAAACACGAACCGTTTTCTTCTCTTCAATATGTACACGTAGACTACTGTTCGCGCTCACCTGATCACCTTATTCACATCTCACCAGCGCACTTGGATCGGCGTTCGTAGATCGACTGGTTGAGACTATTTTTCAAAGATGGATTCTTCCTGTATTCGCGAAGTTGACTGTATGTATGGACCCTTATTATGCTGTCGTGTTAGTGTGGGGCTATTTTGAGCCTTTTTAGTGGTAATAACAAGCGATTTTTATTTGTCATTACTCTATGCCCTATACTAACGTTATACTAGCGTTATAGGCTAAACTGTTTTTAGAGATAAAACTATTTACATTCGGCAATCATGAAATCAAATCTCAGATAACGGTTGACTAGGTTACAATGTGTAATTAGACCAAAGGTTCATTTTGCGCCGGAATTCTCCTTTAATCGCATTAATGTCATGGTTAACTCGCGAATAATCGCAATTAATCACACATTTTTATCTATTATAAATGTCTCTTGATTTCTTTTTGTCCCGTTATTTATTTATTATTGTTTTTTTATTGGTTTTTTTTTTTTTCATTTTAATGCTCATCAACATGGAAAAGTGGATCGGCTTGCTTAGCGCAAATGTGTTTTATTGAAAACAACATTAGCATATACTGTGTTCAATTTCACACAATTTCAGACTAGACGTGCTGCGATGATGATAGCTCAGTTCACTACAGCAAAACACACAGATCACTTTGGTCTTGTCAATTTAACCATTTGACAACTTTTTAAAAGTAAACTTTCCATTGGCATCTATTTCGGCGTCTCGCGCTCGTCATCCACTCAAAACGTAACGTTTACCAACTATTTGGCTGGCTCGCAAGCCCAAACGAGTGTGCGCGGCGTGCCTGTTGTTTTGTTTACGGTCAAGCTAGACCCGCTTACGCTTTGGTCGACGAAACAACAAAACGTCCTCACGCGGCGCAAGCCGTTAAAATGAATGGGTTTCATAGTGCAGCGTCGCGCACACCACAAAAGCATGTGAAAAAAAAAACTACAAAGTTTAGGCCAAAAAGATTGTTAATCGCGCAATTAAAAAAATGACGCCGTTAAAATGGGTTTGTGTTAACGCCGTTAATAACGCGATTAACTGACAGGCCTAATTTGATTATATTATTATGCAAAATAGGGATGTGCCCATAGCTGAATACCCTATTCATAATGCCACGATTAATGCCATCAAAATGAATAATACATGGAAAAAAGTTCAAATCAAATGAACGCATTGTTATCTCTTATTAATGTGCATGTATTTAGAAATCTGAACTTGTCAAGAGTGACAGTAAACGAAGATGCTTGTAACAATGAGGCAAGAATGAAGCTAGAGAGAAACCACTACTTCAATAAAACAATCAGGTAATCCAGGGAAACCAACGGCACACCGAACTCAGGACACAACGACCGACAAACAACAACTGAAGCACAGAGGTTTCAATACACAGGCTAACAACAAGCTAAACAAGATAACAAGGGGGCGGGGCTTATTAGAAACACCTGGAGATACTAATAAACAAGAAAAACTACAAAGAACTACAAGACAAGTCCACACAAGACAAGGAGAACACAAGACGGGAATCATGACAATACTGAGATAGTACAATGATGCATTTTTTATTTAGTTATAATAGTTTTATCTAAAAATGGGCTTTTTGGTGTTCACACATCTAATATTGGTATATTAACCCTTGTGTTATCTTCATTTGTGTCTATACTCACTATCTTTGGGGTTTCCAGGGACCCCAGACAATAACAATAAATGTTGTAACAATATATATATATATATATATATATATATATATATATATTACAAATGTTTTCTAAGTTTATTAATGTTTTTAATCAACATTTGTGCAGTTTTTGGAGTATTTTTGATATCTTTTGAATTTCTATAAATAAATAAATATATATTTATTTTTTTTACAACAAAACGGCATTGTATGTAAAATTCACTTTATAAAAGACATGGAGATAGCATGGATAATTTTACATGGTTTAAACATATACAGTACATGTCTATACATGCATATTCTTCATTTTTAAATATTGCTTTACAATGCAAAATATGCCAATTGGAGTAATTACCGTTAGTGAAATAATTACAACTATTGTCCAAAAAGTCTTCTCAGGAAATATTGTCCGAAATAAAATATTTACAAACTTATGAATATCGAAGAGTAATTATTAATCCAAGGGTTATGAACAGTGTCAACACGATAACTACTATAACTGTAGTTTGTCAAGCTACTCATAATTTACAATCGTAATGTAGAAGACAGATCAGTGACTATCCACTGGAATCTCTGTGATTAATTGGTATTAAATGTTAATTAGAGTTCAAATGGATGAAAATGAGCTAGTGTTACTATATGACCTAGATCTAGAGCATCTCTTCCAGGCCACACAGAAGAAAAGACGTTGTGTTCTCTCTTGTTGTAAGACACACAGGCGGTCTTTAAAATGTCAGGTGGGGAGCAGAGACATTACAGTGTGTAAGTCTTCAGATGTGGCTTTCACTGAATGAAAATGTATGACGTCGAGGTCGGCGTGTAATTTCGCTGACATCTTTACGGTCCACTCAGCTTTGGAGATTTTATCTCCAATCTTACGGAAGAAACTGAGGCAAGTATTTGTGGCGAGCCAATGTTCTTACATGAAAAGGGCCATCTTTAGTAAATTTTGCAGAAAAAACAGCTCACAATTGTTTACTTGACTGTTCATACATCATTTTTTTATGCAAGTTTAGTATGAAATATGATCCATCCGGCTTTTGAGGGAGGTTTATTTGTTCATCTCTCAATCATCATTGCAATCAAAAGATGCAACAGCAAGATGATGTTTCAATGCTTAGTTTTATGATCAATTCTGTTTAGTTTTTATTGTGGAGGGCAAAAGGTTAAATGCAATGCGATGATGAACGCTCCCCAAAAGCCTGATGGATCATATTTGATGCTCAACGAAAACACATATGAAAAATATATAATTTGTTGCATAAAAGTCATTTCATGTCGAGTCTAGAATCGTTTTAGATAATATACTGTATTTAAAGGCCACCTTTTATGCAAAATTCACTTTTACATGGTGTTTGAACATAAATGTGTGTTGGCAGTGTGTGAGCAAAACCACCCTAGAATGATAAAAAAAAAAAAAAAATTTACAATCTCAATAAATCATCTGCACTGTCTCAGAACGAGCTGTTCTGAGATTCAGCGCTTTGTGACGTAGAATTGAGCGAGGGGTTTGATTGACAGTGTGGTTGTGGCATAGACCCCGCCCTCGGTGATCTTTACACCATCCTCTGGTTCATTGGGGTTCTATGTATGAAGCATAGGGCTCTTTACTCAACTCCAAAGAACCTTTTATGCTAAAAAAGGTTCTATAATGACAAGAAAGAACCCTTTTGGTTCCATATAGAACCTTTTTCCTGGTTACAAAGAACCCTAAAGGGTTCTTTTTATTGAACCCTTAAGAAGGGTTCTATAGAGAACCTTTTAGGGGTTCCAAATACGTAGCGCTAATAGAACCTTTTAAGGTTCTATATAGAACCTTTTCTTCTAAGAGTGTAGCAATATTGACCTGGTGTTACTTTAATTCAGCCAGCTCACATACCTGTACTTAATTCTTGTTTTTCGGTCGAAGTCCACAGTAGCCGATTGTCGAATTCACGCGCGCGATCATTGGTAACTGTGAATATCAGCTCAAATGGCTAGTTCATCCGAATCAGATGTTAAAATGTGATACTGCCTGCACAGCTCTTGCGTTTCGTTTGGTCACACACCACAAGGTGTCACTGTGGCCTCAAAGCTTCAGCACTGCCACTCTGAGCTCGATTGCTTATGTCTGAGTTAAAACACGCCCCCTCGTTAACATACGGAGAAAGAAATGTTGGAATAAATAAATGTGGAAATAAATAAATGTAGACATAAAAACATAAATACATAAATGAATGTGGAAATAAATAAACGTGGAAATTAATAAATGAATGAATGTAGAAATAAATAAATAAATAAATGTGTGAAAAAATACAATTATACATAAATATGGAAATAAATTTCTTCGTATATTTATTTATGTATTTATTTTTGCTTTTTTACATTTCTTCATATGTTTATTTATGTATATATTTATTTTGAATTAAGAGGCTAAAAGCAGGTTTAGAGCTCGCCCCATTGAAGTCAACAGGGCGCGAATTTCAAAAAGAGGATAACACGGTTTAGGCAACACCGATTTTTGTCGTTTTTGTCTGTACTGACAGCACACCAAATGTACAAAAAAAACCGAACTCAATGTTAAAATTAAAATGGAGCGGTGTTCTCTTTTAAGGCCGAATCGGTGGACACAAACCTTGGTGATAGCGGGATATCCTGCAGCCACGTCGGCTGGGCAGTACAGCCTATCTTCATGGGACACTTCCACTGCGGTGGCCCACTGGTCCAGAAAACCATTCGGCGTATACAAGCCACAGTCCTTCACTCCGGTCTCCCGCTCGAAGTCTTCACAGACGCCGTCGCCGTCGTAATAGTAGCACATGCTCGGCTCATCTGCACACACAAACAAACACGTGTGCATATTCATGTTTCAGAATGAGAAGTGCATCAAATACACACTAAATGTACACTGTTAGACCTTACCAGGTTTTTTACAGTAAAATACTGGCAACACTGTTGCCAGTAATTTACTGTAAAAATGCACTAAAACTAATAAGTTGTATTTTTTAGTTAACTTGAGTTTTAGTGCATTTTTACAGTAAATTACTGGCAACAGTGTTGTAAAAATGCACTAAAACTAATAAGTTGTATTTTTTTTAGTTCACTTGAGTTTTAGTGCATTTTTACAGTAAATTACTGGCAACAGTGTTGCCAGTATTTTACTGTAAAAAACCTGGTAAGGTCTAACAGTGTATACTGTATATGGAAAACGCAAAAAAAAAAAAAATGCTGGGTTGTTTTAACCCAATTTTAGGTCCAATATGGACAAACCCAATTGTTGGATTAAAAAAATGCAATTTATATATTTAACCCAACAGCTGGGTTTGTCCATATTTGACCCAAAATTGGATTAAAACAACCCAGCATTTTTAGAGTGAATTCAAATCCTGTGAATTCTGTACCCAACTGTAGTTTTATTATCATATCATGTTTAATAAAAAAAAAAAGGTTTTAATTTATAATATACTATGTGTCGTTTATTAAAACTACATGGTTTATGTCATTTTGTTTTGTAATCATGAGAATGTATTTTATTCTAGTTTCCATCTTCCTTGTAGCTTTGGCGAACTATAATGCCCTTGTTTGTCTTCTTAGACGACGCACACAAGATCGCTGGATATCATCAGCAGTGGTGGAATGTAACGAAATACAAATACTTTGTTACTTTACTTAAGCACATTTTTCACGTATCTTTCCTTTACTTAAGTAGAATAAATAGTGCATACTTTTTACTTTTACTTCGTTACATTTTGCAGCAATTATTATACTTTCTACTCCACTACATTTCTACAACTTCTGTTACATTTTCTGATGAGTTTTTCCCCGGCCAAAACGTAATCTGACCGTCCGTTCGTTGCACGTTTGTCTCACCAGTGACGTTTGGTTGCCATAGATACATCAACTAAATGCGTCTCGCACGCAGTGTGTTTATCGTGCAATTTATACGCGAAAATTTGTTTTTACGTGCATAGAAAACACACCGTGTGTAATATACGTTTGGTTAGGATTATGGCCAAGAGGTTCAGAATTACACCATAAATTAATCGTGTTTAATGCCAAAAAATAGTTATTAACATCTAGTAAGGATAAGCATGGTTTATATTGCCTAATTGCAAGCTTGTTTCAGAAATGGTGACAACATTTTTTTTTCCATCATTCTTGAACATCATTATAGGAGTATTAGGTTGAATGAGTTTGAATTAAATGTTTTATTAATCATTAGAAAATAGAAATTAAGAGAATCAATTGTTATGCAAGTACTTTTACTTTTACTACTTAAAGTGCATTTAAAATCAGGTACTTTTTACTTAAGTATGGTCGTCATTGTGTTACTTCTACTTTTACTAAAGGAAATATTTATCTGGTTATTTGTACTTTTACTTAAGTACTGAGATTCAGTACTTCCTCCACCACTGCTGTCCTCTTCGAGCAATACAGGAATGTGTCCATTGTCCTGTTTACTTTCTTTTTTTTTTTTCTTTTTTTTTCTGAACACAGGACAGCCAATTCACATTAGGCAGTGAATTATACACCCACACCTGACAATGATGAGTGAATTCAGAAATAAATAAAGTGTCATCTTGTTACACTCACAGCATCATATCATAGAGGAAAGTGAAAGTGGACCCATTTCAAAAATGTGATTTTTCTCCTGAAAAAATGTTCACTTAGCAATATAAAGAATGGCAACAGACGTTTTATTTAGCAGACGGCTTGCATTTATGATCTGAAACGCTCACATAGAGTCAGTGAGAGTCAGATTCGCCTTCTCAAATTTAAAGGGGTGTTTGATTATGATGATTCTGATTTCACTTTTCTAACTTTAGTTAGTGTGTAATGTTGCTGTTTGAGCATAAACAACATCTGCAGAGTTGCAACGCTCAAAGTTCAAAGCAAAGGGAGATATTTGCTTTTTAAGGACTACAACAACTACAGGACATTCCTCCCGGGTTAGCGACATCACAAACCCAAAAAAGTACATAAACACCACCCTGGGAATGCGATTTATAGATAATCTTGACCAAAAATGCTAATCAATGTTAACCACATCCGCTACATAAATTCATCAACTAACCACTCAGAAAGGTCCCGTTGCTTCTACATGTTGTCCCTTCTTGAGTGTCTCCATAAACATTGAGATTTTCAGTGCATCTCTGTGTGAGGTAAAAGGACACAAAGCTCCGCCCCCTGTGCCAGGAGCAGCAGCTCATTTGCATTTAAAGGGACACTCACTAAAATGGCAAAAATGGTGTTTTTGCGTTTTAACATGCTATATAAAAATATCTGTGGGGTAAAACTTCACATACACACTCTGGGGACATCAAAGACTTATTTTTCCTAGAGGTTTTTTTTTTTTTTTCTCTCAGATTTGCCACTGACGGGTGTTAATTTTGGCTCTATGCTGCCGTCAGAATCCGAGCAGATGAAGGTATCTTGGCTTTGGTTTCAGATGTGCCTTCATGCCTTCCTACTGTACCACCGAAGGCAGCACTCTTCAGGTTTCGGATCCATCAGGTTTTCCAGGGCCGTGAGTGAGACGGGATATTTGGGATGAGTTTTCCAGGAGCCGCTGTTCCTCATTCAAGTGTTTTATCCTCTCTCCTTCACCATTCCTCCTCCGTTCATCTCTCACCGTTTCACCTTCTCCAATCACATTTTCTCTCCCACACTGTGTCTCCATCCACTCCTACTCTGTCTGTCTGGCACTTTATCAACAAACTGAATATTAGTGGTACAAATAAAATGAATTATAAAAACAGTGCATGAGAGACCATTTAGAAATGAAAATGAAAAGAAATGAACCATTTGCAAACTAATTTATATAATTGAATGGCAACACTCCACATGTTCCATTGGTTGACATGAACAAATAATAATCACACTTCTAAATAATTTCTATACATTATTAAAATGTTCTCAATCTCTATTGCTCATTGCAATTCAAAGTGCATCTATTAAGCTATTTTAAAGTCTCCTATAGCAGATTTACATGCATAATGCATGCAACACTTTAATTTGATCATAATATACTGTACATTACAGCATCAGCTGTAATCGACGTTTCGGTTTCTGAGAACCTGCTCTGCTCTGATTGGTCAAACGGCCCAGTCTCATGTGATTGGTCCATTGCCATATCTGAATTTTGCTTTTGATGCATGCGAACAGTTTTACTGTATCAATTCGAACCCGAGTCCTCATCCTTTTGAAACGGCGTCTTTGACATATACAACACGAACCTAACTCTTCTATCTCAGATACAACTCCAGTGTTTGAGGGTCAAAGTAGACATTGTTCACTGGCAGCCAATGAAAACCATAGGCTAGCATTATGCAAATTCGTTAATATATTAAGAGCACTTTGACCCCTAACCTGTCATTTGCCTGTATACGGGCAACCTAAATTTACTTCACAACATTACTAGTAAATCCTAATCTTGTCATGACAAACTATATATCGTTGGAAAGGTCTAAGACTCCTAAATAGATATTTTAGCGCTGTTTTTTTTTTTATTTTTTTTTACAAGTTATGAATGAACATTAATATAGGAATTTATGACAAGAGCGCGCCTCAAAAAATCGACGTCATTACAGGAGTTTCTGAACTTCGTCACAAAAAGTCGACACACACACTTTTAATCATTGAAACTTGGGGGGTTTTTTTAGTGCTAAAAGTTCATAATAAAACATAATCTAGTATTTGTCAATAAAAAAAAGATAAAATATAATAATAACAACAATATATATATATATATATATATATATATATACTGTATATATATATATATATATATTGTTATTATTATATTTTATCTTTTTTATTATTTTATTATATATATTATTATTTTATTATATATATTATTTAGAATATAATAATATTATATATATGTATAAGTTTTTATTATTAATATATCACATATTTTACACTGTAAAAAATATTGTTGGTTTAACTTAAAAAAGTAAGTAACCTGGTTGCCTTAAAATTTTAAGTGTATTGAACTGGAAAAAGTGAGTTAATACAATGAAGGAGATTAATTTAATCATCAGAAACTCAAAATAATAAGTTATCTCCACTAAATATATTATTTAAGTTGATTTGACAAAAGAAAAAATGTTGTGATAACAAATCTTGAAAATATATTTTTTTACAGTGTAGTAGTTATCATAAATTAGGTATCATTTGAAAGCTTACAAACTCAGACTTCATCCCGTGAAAACCGTTTTGAAATTGGACGTTGCATTACCATAGAAACTGTATTTTTTTATTAGGCCCCTCCCCTTTTGGGCATCATCTTTCATAATTTATTATCAAAACCTTTTCTAATCTCGACAAAACACATATTGTCAGAAAGGTCTGAGTCTTAAGGTTCCATATTCAGTGACAGAAGTGATATTTGGATAGAAATGTATGAATTTGTTATGGCAGAATGCATACAATTAAATTCAATGGAATTCAATGGCACCCGGTGGCTATGTTTGGTATTACGCCTAAACAAAATCTCATGGGAACTTTTTTCATGGCAATTTTTGTGATATCAACTTTAAATTTGGAACACAACTTGGTTAGATATATGGCTTTCATTTTATAGTAAAAAATTGTGAACAATTTACTTCAGTACAGAATATAGTGATAATGAGACAAAAAATAGTGATAATGAGCATATATTTAGTGATAAATTGATACAGACTGTCTGTCTGTCTGTCAGTGTTGGGGTTTCCAACAAGGAGGACAGAGGCATGCCATGCCAAGTTGGCTCGAGCCTTCACATAAATTCCAGAGCTCCCCTTTGCACAACTCTGCTGATGTTGAAACGAGGGGCTGCAGAGGGGGTCAAACACACACACACACACACACCTAGCGTTCACGTGGCCATATGCACGTCTGAGCCGTACACCACCCGCGATATCATTATATTCCTCAGATACAATGAGATGAGCAATTTACTGTCTCTGGACAACCTAATTCAAACACAATATTGAGATAAGAAAAACCAAACACTATCTTTTGGTTCAGCGAAATCCAGCTAAAAAAACAATCAGAAAAGACAAACGCTTCATTCATGATGGTGCCTGATGGTTCCACACAAAACAAATATTTCAAGCTGCCACACAGATGTGGCTCCTTCGGCAAATGGTAGAAATAAACTCTCGGACAAAAACCTGCAATGCCTGATATTCTGAGAACGGTGCTTGTAGGAATCATATTTGAAAATAAGTCTCTTCTGCACACCAAGGTTGCATTTATTTGATTAAAAAATACAGTAATGGCTTTTTAGTATATTTTCAAATGTAATTTATTCCTGTGATCATCATTACTCCTGTCTTCAGTGTCACATGATCCTTCACAAATCAGCCCAATAAACATTTCTGAATGTTGCTTCATATTTTTGCCGAAACTGATGCATTTTAGAAAACTCAAAAGAGCAACATTTATTTGACATTTCCATGTCTTTACAGTCACTTTTGGTCAATTTAATGTAAATTGTAAATAAAAGTATTAATTTCTCTAAAAAAAAAAAAACTTCTGACAGGTAGTACCTTTACCATCTTATTAGTTACATTCATTTTTCATAACCCTTTGAAGTCGCACCATTTTGCATGTTTGCATTTCTAATCTTCTTTTGTCACTAACCACACTCAATGTATTTTTTTTTTCCAACACATCCCATAATTTTTTAAAATATCGGCATCTACCAAATGGTAGAGATGTCACTTAATGGTAATAAATGGTATTGGAATTCATTCACATACTTTGACATAATTTATGATCAAAACCTTTTCTAGTCTTGACAGAAAGGTCTGAGTCTCAAGGTTCAATATTTTGTGAGAGAAGTGATATTTGGACAGAAATTTATTAATTTGTCGATTAAATTCAATGGAATTTAGGTCATTTTTGGTATTACGCCTAAACAAAGTCTCATGTGAACTTCAATTTTTTGTGATATCAACTTCAAATTTGGAACACAACTTGGTTAGATATATGGCTTTGATTTTATAGGAATAAATATTTTGTAAAATATATATTTTATATAAAAGAAAACATTTAGTACAGTATATTTGAACTATATAAAACTTCCATAACTTTTTCATACTTTTATTTTTTGAAGTGCTTTTACTTCAGCAATAATCAGCAGTGTTTTCTTTAAATCAAGACTAAACTTAGGTCTTTATTCCAATTACAACTAAGTTTTAATAGTGCAATTCTCAAAAAGATAACCGTTATGTGCCAAATCAACCGTTTGGTTGAGCATGTTTTTTGAAAAATTATTAAAAATATACTAACGTTTTTTCATAGCACCAAGTAACATCATTTTGTAAAGTTAAGGCTCTTCCAGTGTAAAATGTAAAAAAAAAAAAAAATGCTTAGCTTGCAAAATTTCACCAAAAACAGTTCACATGGCTGGGGTGATTTATTTGTTCCTGACATCCATGTTAGAAGAAGTGTTGTGACCAGTGATTTTTTTGGGCATAATGTACCTCAACCAGATGATTAGGTTAAGTTAAGAGTTAAGTTAGGTACTCCTCTCAATAAAATATAGTGACTCAAAATGTGCTCAACCGTTTGGTTGAGAAATCAGTTAAAGAGATTCACCTTCTCTCTAACCTTTGTGATCAAATATGCCATTTTTGTGTACTGTACCTTTAAGACTTCTACAGTATTTCTGTATTTTTTAACTGTATTAAACACCCCCTGTTGTGACTGACTAACCATGTGAAATACAGTAAGTACTTGCTTTGGGCTGTTTGTTGCGCTGGTCGTCATTGATCAAGAGCGGTATTACTGTCTATGTTACACTTTGTGTTTGTGTCTAAAAGTAAACTAAATTTCCCTTCTGCCATCTTCCAGTGACGTAACCTTTCCTCAGACTCGACCATAAAAACAGAAACCGGAAAGCCTTCACGACAGAACAGTAGAAGGTGCCAAGGCTTCCTTCACAAATCTGTTAATGTGATATTAAATGTCTTACAGATTTTACAAGGATGTCATAATGCTAGGGATAAAAAATATCTTTGGCTCTGGAGGGAGTGAATAAGCTAAAGTGCTTTCCCCCCCGGAGTGAGACATCTCGCAAAACCGTGTGTTTAAAAGCGTGCCACACTTTTGCCGTGGCCGTGTGGTGATGCTGATGTTTCTTACCAACACAGTTGAAGAACGGCTCCTTCTTACAATGGCCGGAGCAGCCGTCTCCATTCATAGTGTTCATATCGTCACACTCCTCTCCCTGGGACCTGAAATAAATCAATGTATACAGAATGAACATAATGATGATTTCCCTGGGTGGATATAAATTTATGTTGTTAAAAGCATGGACCTCCTCGTGCAGTAGATATATGACAGAATGTTTTCAACATCTCTAAAATGTTTTTGAGCCTCACGGTTAATGTGATGATCCTGTAAATCTCTTTGACTCGGAGGATCCCCACTGTCCAATAACTATAAAATAACTATTCTAGAGTTGATATAAGTCAACTATTTAACCACAATTCATTTTGTGATTGCAGATTCATTTCAAGAATTGTACGTTAATTAATAAAATAGTAGTTCAGGGGGATGATTTTTGCAGCATTTTTTTTTTTTTTACATTTTAATTTTTAATTTTTTTTAACATTTATAACTCTTTTCCCAACATCAAAAAAAAAAAAAAAAAAAAAAAAAAACACAAACCAGCACTTGGATACATTTTAATGTTTAAATAAAGTATAATTACGTATAAATTACATTTGTTTTTAATGTTTATAACTCTTTTGCCGCCCATATTTAAAAAAAAAAAAAAAAAAAAACGCCAGCCAGCACTTTGGATACATTTTAATGTTTAAATAAAGTATAATTATGTA